CCACCCATCCACCCACCCACCCATCCACTCATCCACCCACCCACCCATCCATCTATCCATCCATCCATCCATCTATCCTCCAACACTCTTGTTCTTCCTTCCTCCCTTCTTCCCTCTCTCCCTGCATCTTTATAGCCAGTCAGCTGATTAACCTGGTTTCTCTTCCCTCCTATTCACCCCAAACTCAAACTTATCAGGTGTTCAAAGGATTGACTGCTGACATGAACAGACACCTCCAAGCCAGGGTGTTCATCTCAAAGGTAAATCCAGGTCATTTGGAATGCAATCCAGTCCCTGTCTCCTTGTCCCAACCCCTCCATGACCCAGCATCCTCCACCCTCACCTTAACCCCTCTCACCCACTCGGCTCCGGCCACACTGGCCCCCTTTCTGGTCCTCCAAAGTGCCGAGCCCATTCTTGCCATGGCCTCCACAGGACCCTTCTCCCTTCCGGAATGCCCCTCGCCCACATCTCCCAAGGCGGAGTCTTGTGGGATTCCACACCACCGGGAGGGCCCAGCTCAGGCTGCACCATGCACATTCTCCACATAGCACTGGGGGCTTTGGAAGCTCACACTGGCATTTCTTTATTCTTTGTTAAAACTCCTTGTGTCTCAGCACTTAGAGCAGGACAAGCAGTGGGCGTTTCTGGGGTGATGAGCTCAAGGGGCGGGACCCAAGGCTGTAAGTACTACCCCCTCCCCCACCATGGAGCAAGCACAGGGCCCCTAATCCTGGGCTTCCTGTGCCTTTCATGTTGGGCCCTCTGATCTCCAGCTCAGAGGAGAGTCCTCCAAGAAATGACCAGGGCTATTTCTTGGAGACAGTGTCTCCAGGAACCCAGGTGAGATTCCTGTTCCTGGCTGGTGGCCACACCAGGTGCTATGTCAGGTATAACGTGCAGAGCACCTGAAGTGCTGAAGAATGAGGCTTCACCCTCTATGTGTTGGCAGGCAGGGGGCGTCCGGCACTCTGAGAGGCTGCAGACAGCTGGGCTGGGCCTACAGCTGTCCTTCCCCTAGAAGCTGAGGGTCCTAGAGAAGAAGGGGAGAAGGAAGGGAGGGTGGACAGGAGGAGGAAAGGAGAGAAGGAAAGACAGGTGGATGAAAAGACAGACTACTGGTTGTGGCAGCAGTGACCTAGGGTCCCACTAATGCTGGGTAACTCAAAACAGGTGTGCTGCCTACCTCTAGCTGTACTGTCTGCTGGGAAGCCCCCTGCCCAGGCTTCAGCTGCCAAGGGCTCCTGGTGAACTCTCTGGCCTTGGATTCTGCCTGTCTGAGGCCACCAAAGGCCACTACATGGGCTGCCCCACTGTGCTCTGTGACAAATGGGGCCAGCAATGCCACCTCCCAGCCTCGCAGTTTCTCAGTGTATGTACACAGCAGGTCCTCACCTACAGCTGCCAACACCCTCTCTTGCCACTGACACATGGTGCTGTCTCTACATTCAGCTGCAGCCACCCCTGCGCTTTGATCCTAAAGTCCAAGTGCAGGAGGGTGGCAAGGAGGAAGGAGCCCAGAGCGAGGCTGGAGGAGACTGTCCCTGGCTCAGCACGTGGGTGGACAGCCCTGTGTGTCCTCACGGGCCGGGAGAAGCTGAGGGTGGTACAGACATAAAAGTAAGATTTTGGCTCAGTGGGGCCAGAGCCTAGAGCCCTCAGTCCCAAGGGCTACTTTCACTGCAGGCCCAGCCAGGAGGCAGCAGGATGGGGCAGATATATATGATGGCACTGCCCAACTCTGGCCCAGGCCTGGGGAGGAGGAAGATTTGCAGGCCTGGAGCTCAGCAACAAAATCTACAGGCAACAAAGCCACTTGATGCCTCCTGCTACCCATTGCTGGAGACAGGGTACAGTCAGATGCCCTTCCTGGAAGGCCTAAGGAAGCTTTGTCTCTTGCCAGTCACTAGAGTGGGACCAGGATGAGCCCTGGCATCCTCCGCTGACAAGTGTCCCATTGCTAGGTGCACATACCCTTGAGCACTACCTTCAGGGCCTTGCCTTAGGAGTGCAGGTTTTATTCAGCTTGGGGGTTGACTCGGGGACAAGGTGAGTACCTTCCCTGGCTGACCTCCACACCTCTCTTCTCTCTACCCAGGGTTCTGAGCTCTGCCTTTGCTTCTATCCAGCCCTTAGTGGGCTCTTCCCTTCCTTGGAGACCTGGCCCCTTCCTCCCTGACAGCTTTTCCTGGCTTTCTGAACCCAGGAGTGGCTGGCCTGCCTAGGTATTACTGTGAACCATGCAAGACCCCTCCTGAGCTGGGCTTCCTTTGTGGGGTATACCCTGGCTGATGTAGACTACTTGAACTCCAGCTGGGCTAGGCATCTATAGGTGCCAATGCAGCATTTCCAGAGCAGACTAGTCAACAGCTAGCAAGGGGGCTTGGGAGATCCTGCTGAAGTCAGGCAGGGTCCTGTGGGGCTGAGAACAAGTCGACAGAGACTGAGCCCATGGCAGCAGGCAACAGCACTTCCTGCAGCCCTGCTTGGCAAGGTGGCAGTTTCCAGGCAGGGCAGGGATGGTGATAGCCTCCGAGAGGCCTCCTGAGACCTTGGCATCTGCTCCCAGGCCCACTCCTGAACCCCGGCCCCAGCCTGCACCTAGGGCTGCAGTATGCCCAGGGCTGATAGCATGTGGGCTCTCACAAGCACTGTCAGCCACAGGACAGTGCCCAGAGCTTCTGAGCTTCTGCTGCTCTAATAGGCCACAAGCAAGATATATCCACATGGTCACTACTGGGGCAGCATGGCCTGGACACACTACCCTGCAGAACCCACCCCTGCTGGGACCTACCACCTAGCCACCCTTCTCACTGACCACGGCACCTCCTGGTCCCTGTCCCCAGGGCTTCTCATTCCCTCCTACCCTGTTGAGCTTCAAGGGCCTCCGGAGTTGAGGAGGGGACACTGACAGCAGGACAGGGGTCAGCTCTGACTGCACTCCTGTACCCTCAGTGCAGGCTTGAGCAGGCTCCTTAGACTCTGTTTCCTGTCAGGGGCATAAGAGGTGATGTTGCCACCCGAGCAGATAAGGCAGGGACAGGTCAGGCTCAGTGCTGTGTCTCTGTGTCTGGGCATCTGGGGACAACCTCTCTGATCCCAGCTTAAAGCTGGCTGGTTGGCAGCAACACCTGGAGAATAGACATGGAGCCCACGCCAGCTGCGACACCCACCCAGAGCCGACCTGCAGCACCTCCTTCCCTCCAACTGCTTTCTCAGCAGGGATTTGGCCTTAACACTCAGCCCTCCTGCCACGGCCAGATAGACACCCACCCTTGAGCCACAAGAATGAGATCCTTGTAAGCAAGGTCATGTGTTTTATCAGGGCCACACAGGAGACCACAATGGAGTCATCTGGGCCAGGCTTGGCTAAGCCTCTGAGAAGGAACAAGCAGAGTCCACGACTCACTTGGCATGCCACCTGTGTGTGCTCAAGTGCAGATGATTCAGACCACATTCCTCCCTGTTGTCTCTTGGGGGTCTGGGGACCAGAGCCAGGGAAAGGGCTCCCCTAATGCCTGGGTGGCCTCTGCTAGCCACTTCCATCCCTCGGCCCATTTGTAATAGGACATGCAGAGTGGGGAGGGAGGTGCCTGTGGCAGCTGGTAGAGGCCGTCCCTAGTGCCCACAGTGCCCAGGTAGCTTTCTTACCTACAGCCCAGTGTGGGGTGGAGGGGAGGCAGGTAAGTGTTCCAGGGGAAAAGTGAAGCTTTGGTTGCTGTGGCTCTCAACTGGCCAGTGCCTATGCTGAGAGTCCTGCCTGAACTCAATGGATTCTCCTTAAAGGCTATGGGTAAAAAAAATCTCTAAAATCACACTGGCCACTAGGTAGGGGGCTTCCAGCCTTCCGACACAGGTTGCTGTCTCCTGGCTGGACTGATGGTCTGGGCTCAAACTGAGCAGTGCTCCACTACATGCTTGACTCTCTGAAACCTGACAGAGACGTCAGCAGGTCCCAAGAAAGGACAGCAGCCTTCAGTGAAAGAACAGGCTCTAGCAGCCATCAGTTTAATAAAACAGTAAAAGCATCAGTTAAAGGAGAGTAGTCACCTTTAAACGCGAGTAGTAGCCATTGGTTAAAAGGACAGTAGCCACCACGCCAACACCATATAATTGTATTCCAAAACCTTGCTAAGGTCCCAATCCCTGTATCTCGGAGGACCCTGCTGAGAGGAAACTGCTCATCTCCTGAGCCACCCCACAGAGACTATCACATGCCTCACTCTGAGGGCAAACATCAGAAACATGCCAGGCAACTGTCTCCAGGCAGACTGACAGTCTGGACTCAAACTGGGCAGTGCAAGCAGCCCAGGGGAGCACTCTGCAGCCCCCTGGCATGTTCTTCCAGTCCCTCTGCTGAGCTGATGGCCCTTCAAAGACGCTTCCAGCACCCACAAGGCAGGGACTGGGTATCACCATCATATTTTGATACAGAAACTGAGGCCTTCAAGTAAATAACTGGTCTAAGTTCCTGTGGATCAAGCCAGGCCTGGAGGGAACACAGCTTCCAGTCGCAAGTCCCCCTTGTACTTTGGACACAGCTGAGGAGCCAGAGTAGAACACAAGAGGGCCAGGCTCCTGATAGTGGAGGTGGGAGTGGGGCTTCCCTGGGAGACTTCCGAGACTTGGCCATAGAGTGGCTGAGCCGAGAGAGGTAGGAAAGTGGTCTGCCCTGCTCTGAGAGTGGTGTCGGCCGTGCCTGGGTGTCCTTCAGGCTGACTCAGTTGTCATGTGCCTGTGGGCCTGGCCCAGCCCAACCCTGGCACTCATCCACCTGGCCTCCTCAGTGACAGTGCTTTTCTGCATCCTCAGCGGCCCTTCGCAGGCGGTCAGCCAGCCTGACACACCCACTCACCATTTCCTCTGAAAACCACACCCAGCCAGTCTGAGGAACCTGAGCCTGGTGGCCAGGCCAGATGTGACTCCTGGCGGGTCCTGCCTGCCCCTCCTCACTGAAGGGAGACCTGGACTTTCATGTGTAAACTTGCTAGGTGGCAAAGCTCTGGGGGCTTTAGGAGCCGGCAAGGTAGGCTTGGGAGGTCCAGGGGAGTGACTTGGGTCAGTGCATCCCGAAGCCTGGGCCACTGGAGGCAGGGACCCCATACCACTCTGAGATCAGCCATGCTGAGCCTCGACGTCCTCATCCGACACAGGCTGCTGTCTCCTGGCTGGACTGATGGTCTGGGCTCAAACAGCAGTGTAAGCAGCCCTGGAGGAGGAGCAGCAGCCTCTTTGGATTCCCTTGATGTACACCCTGGTGCAGCAGCTGGGCTCTTCCAATCCCTCTGCTAAGCTGATGGACCCTGGAAGTCACCAGGCCTTTCCCCAAGGTCTATCTGATCTGATGTGATGCCTGCAGTACCCACAAGGTGGGGAGTGCGTATAACCATCATGTTTTAAAGATACAGAAACCAAAGACCTGGGTTCTGGGGGCAACTGATGCCCACTTCCAGAAAAGACGCTCCCCGCTTAACCCTTCAGGCCCTCTATATGCCCGGTACTGCACATCCTACTCTCCCACTCCATGCCTGACACGCCATTCCACTCATAAGTCACTGGCCTCTCAAGGTAGGGGAACAGAGGAGAAGTGGCTCGGTGGTCTGGTTGACCAGCAAAGCCAGGAGACTGTACTGGAGCCCAGGGCTGGATTTGCTCGCCTGGCCTGATTTGTCTTCCTGGATGCAGAGTAGCCATGGGACAGAGGACACACCACATGAAGACTGTAGGAGACAAGGGTTGTGGAGCTAACCCTGGACCTATGCCACTTCCTCCCCAGCAGGGTCAGAGAGCCCAAGGCTCCAGGGCTTGGGGCAGGGACAGCAGGCCATTGCTGATTCCAAGAGGGTGTTTGCAGGCTCGAGCAAGCTACACATTCTAACAGAATCCTCTGGCTTTAGTCCTTCCCACTGCTGACTCCCACAGGGTTCTCCTGCAGCTGCTCCTGCTCAGGTGACCTGGGGTGGTTTGGAGCAGCCAGAGCAGAAGGCAGGTGGGTGCTCCAGCCCCTGACAACATGTGCAGCCAGCAGCACAGAGGGAGAGGACAGGGGCTGGAGGACAGAGGAGCCAGGGACTTGGGCCAAGAATCATGGGGTCTGGGCATCAGCTCTGAGGGTTCCTGCTGTACTCATCACCCACATCCTGTGGAGTCACCTACTGCCTGCAGAGGGCATGAGGGAAGGAGAGGCTGTCAGGATGACCATAGCCTAAAAGGTGGAGGCCATGCTGGGACCAAGAGGAGTGGCCTCTGCAGGGTGGGATTGAGCTGAAGGTGCCCAGCCCCAGCAACTGCCCTTAGGTATATGGGGACAGGAAGGAACAGCAGTCTCCCTTCATTCCCAGCATGCCTTGCCCCAGGGAGGCCTTGCTCTCTGGGGAGAGGTCACCACAGAGGGACAATGACCAGTTTCCCTGGAAGGTGCAGTCTGGGCAGGTTACTAAAAGTCAGGCCTATGGCTAGCACTCTGTGTGTGGGACAGCCAAGGCCAGAGTCACAAACTTCCCCACAGCTCCCAGTAGGCTGCAGGGGTGGCCGCCCTGCTGCAGAAGAGGTCTCATGAGAATGTTCACTCTCCCACCCGGCACTGTAGGGGTAGGTGCAGGCAGGGGTCCACCAAGCCGCACCACTGCCAGGGGGATCCCTCTACAGAGGAGAATCTGGCCCAGGTCTCCAACAGTTAACCACCATCTTGAGCTGCATTAGCAGAGACTAAGCCATCAGGAGGAGGGAGAGGATAAGTCTAGAGCAGCCTCCCTGGCCAGACTGGTTTTAGCTCTGTGAGGTGGAGGAAGGGCCGGCCTCAGGGAGGCTCTCTGGAAAGACCAGGGTGGGGCCACCTGCAGGCAGGGACATTCAGCTTCTCTGACACCTGATGTGGGATCAGGTGAGCTCAGACAGGATGGGGCTTCTCAGATCAGGATCACTGTCCAGGAAAGTGAAAACTGGTGCTCACAGCCCAGGAAAAGCTGCAGGTCCTTTCTTCCTGGGAGGCCCTTGGGAGTCATGTGGTCTCTGGGTGCTCACGGCCTTGGCAGCATTGGGCCCAGCCTCACGGCCCCCTAGTCAGAGAGAAGCTACTGAGGACCTAGGGAGGTCAGGATGCTTAGGGAGCTAGGTTGTCCCAGCTCCCTCTCCCAGCTGGCCGCGAGAGCCTTGTTTCTGACACCAGAGGTCACAGAGACACCTGCTGCCCACACCTCACACCTCCTTAGAATCTAAGATGCTGGGGCAGCCACTTCCATCCAGGGGTATCGTGGCCTCTGGGGTATAGCCAAGCCAGGCTGGGCCAGCGCCTGGGGGAGCAAGGAAAGATGAGGGGTCCCCCTGCTTTCCCAGATGGGGCTGTGGCTGGCTCCATGGCTGGTCTGCTGGTGTGAGTGACATGAGCTAAGCACTGCCAGAGGATCTGGGTCAGGTGGCTGCTAGACACCGTGAAGTCACCTCACCCCTTCCCTTTCCTTCTCTCCCCTCCTCTCCCTCTACATCTGTCTTTTTCAAGAGTGCACATGTGCGTGTGTGTGTGTGTGTGTGTGTGTGTGTGTGTGTTGTACTGGCCATTGAATCTGGAGCCTATACACTGAGCTGTGTGTGTGTGTTTGTGTGTGCACGCGCGCGTGCATGCATGTTGTAGTGGCCATTGAACCTCATGCCTGTGTACTGAGCTATACCTCCAGCCTTTTCCTTTATTTCTTACATTGACAAAGGAACTCAATAAGTTGCTAAGTTGCCTGGGCTGGCCTTGATCTTGTGATCCTTCTGCCTCAGCCTCCCAGAGTGCTAGCATCGCCAGTGTTCACCATCACACTGGGTTCAGGAGTTGCTTCTTTCCTCCTGCAGCAGGGCAGCCCCCCCTGCAGGGTCACAAACTGCAGAAGGAAGACAAACAGTCTGGCATGTGTGTCCCTGAGAACACTGGCAGGACGGCTCAACTCAATGCCTTCTACAGAAAGACCCTGAAAACAAGAACGAAGTGAGCACCAGTGCTTCACTCCACGCTGTTTCACTGAATCCTCACCCGCCCCCCCGCAGGTAGAACTGTCATCACCCTCATCTGATGCCGGAGAACACTGAGGCACATGCAGGGTCAGTGTTACGGTTTAAATTTAGAAAGGCCCTCTAAAGTCTCGTGTTCAGAGGTGGGGCTATGGGAAGGTGACTCAAGCACGGGCTCTGCACTCACCAGGAGCCTGATCCACAGATGAGTTCATAGCTGAATGTGTTGTTCGGGGTGGGGCATGGTGGAAGAGGTGTGTCCCTGGGAGTTTGCCCTTGGAGGGTTTATCACCCTCCTGGCTCCTCCCCGCTCTCTCTGCTTCACTCTGCCCTTCCGCCACACCATGTCTGCCTTGGAACCAGCAGACTGTGGACTGCATCCCCAAACTGGGAACCAAATTGCATCTCTCCTCTTTAACCTGTGGGTGTCAAGTATTGTTTCTCACTGATGAGAAAGCTGCTGAATGCAGTGGGCAACCTGCCCAATACAGCTGCTGTCACCACTGATGGCTCCGTGAGGGCCCGCCATGGAGCAGGACAGCGCTAAGGGATGTGGAACTGTGGGTGACAGACCTGTCTCTCCACTTCTCTGTGCCTCAGTTTCTCCCTCTGAGTGGGAGGATGACGGCACCAAATCACAGGATTATTACGCAGACTAATTGAGATCGGGCTTGTGAAGGATTTAGAGTGGTTGCCAATAAACGTGAGCAATTATAGCACCAACACTTAAAGAAAGGCGTGTAGCAAGGCCACGGGTCCTAGAAAGATTTGATAGTAGGCAGGTGGGCACAGGGCATTCCCCTCTGCTAGGAGAAACCAGAGCCGTGTCTGGAAATGAGGTCCAGAGGTAGCTCTGTCAGAGGTGGAAAACCAAAGTGATCTCTATCTTGACTGCACAGGGCCATGGAACCCGTGTCACTGGATGCGCACACAAGGGCCCTTGGCGGTGCCAGGGATAGGAGAAGATGCAGCATGGCAAGTACAATCCAGTTTCACCCCAGACCTGGCTTCCTGCTCAGTCCAGGCAGAGTCTACCGCACACAGGGAGGAGGCCCCACCATCATCTACTTCCCGCCATGTTTATTTTCTATCTGGTGTCAGTGTTCCGGTGCCAGAACAGCTGAGTAGAGACAGGAATGGATGTTAGGTTTGGCTTAGAACAATTGAACTTTAACTGCCAAGGCCAAACTCAGGTCATTCTGTAACTTCCTCCTTCATGCCCAACTGGTTTTAGACTTTACATGTTGGCCCCCTGGCCTTGTCCAGAGTGAGGATGAAGCATCCTTTCTTTGCCTATCCTGCCCCATTCTCTCCATCAGGGAACAAGGTTTGAGATCAGGGCAGCATAAGGGCCTGGAGGCCACCCCTCTGCTCTTTGCTGGCAGAAGGGGTAAACTGAACCCTGTTGGGACTAACACGTTTCCAGGGACCCTCCAGCCCCATCAGCCCTGCTCCTGTGCGCCTATACAGCCAGTGTGTCCCAGAGTGGCATTGCATCCCCTTCTCTGCACCTCTGAACCCCACTGAGGACTCAAGCACAGCTCCCAGTCATGGCTGCTCCTGGACCCTGGAGGTCTCTACCCAAGGCTTCCTGTCACCTGGGCTCACCTGGGACTGGCTGCCTTTGCACAAACCTGCAAGGGCAGAGGGGGGGAACGTGTGCCCCAGAAACCCCTCATCCCAGCATGCAGATCCAGCTCCATGGCCCCTGGGTTGTTCTCAGAGCAGGACTTCCAAAATGGACTTGGTTTCTCACATAGCACCCAGTGGGCTGGGGATTAAATTAACTCTCTTGCTCCCTCCCTGGGTTTGTCAAAGTCAGTGTCACAAGCCAATAGCTCTCCACACAGCGGCCTATACCCTCACTTTGTCCTCCCTTGCCAAAGGAGCTGGCAGGTGGGCAGCAGGCAGAACAGCCCTCCTTCCCCTCTGCCTCCCACCCTGTCTAAGGCTGGAAGAATCCTAAGTCTTGGGAACAGTAAAGATCCCTAGAGTCTAAGTGCTCCATTTTCCCGCTTTCTTTCCCTTTGCAGATGCAGTAACTGAGGCACAACAGAGCTGAGTCATCCAGGGCACAAGACTTGTTAATGCTGGTCCTGGTATCATCCACAGAGGAGCGGGCTGTCCACATCTATGGGGAGCACCAGGCCCAGGCAGTACAGGAGACACTTGCTGGGCCACAAATCCATACAGTCAGGAAGCCCCACCTCCCTGCCACATGCGTACCCCTCCCTGCTCCAACAGCACTCATTGCTCACTCATTGCTCAAGGTCCTGCAGGCGAGACTTTCTCCCTCTCATTTTCCAGATGAGGAAACTGAGACACAGGAAAACACCCCAACGACTCAATTTTGCAGCCTGGTGGTATAGTGCTCAGTGGCAGCCAAGCTACCCCACCATTCCACTTGCCCATGAGGTGCCACCTCCAGAACCCCCCTTGCCATCTTCCTCCAGTTGGGCACATCCAGCGTCCTGCCCAAATTCTTCTGGGCAAGCATGAGTGAATCAGACGGGTGAGACCAGTGTGGCCTATTCTCCTGAAGCTGCATGGAAGGGACTCTTCATCTCTAAGATAGAAACAATTCCACCCACCCAGGAGCTCTGTGAAGACAAGGAGCCATGCTTGCACCCTGAACTGAACCACAGAGTGGGTCACCCCAGACTGTGAAGACCAGAGGTGATCAATCTCAACTCAATCCAGTTCAAGGAGGCAATCCATTGAGCACCTACTGTGTGCTGTCCCATTAGCCTTGTGCTCCTATAGCTGGGCCCAGTTGATTTCATCTCACCCATAGGGAAGGGCTTGTCTGGGCTTCTGCCTGCTTGGCCAATGGGTCTCTGGGGCCACATGCCCCAGGCCGCGTCCCTGGCACACACCTGTCCACCTGCTGACTGGCCAGGCAGGGAAGCTGCTGTGAGTTGAGCAAGAGAGGCAATGGGTGTGCCCCTGGGCTGTAACTCCTGGGGACACCCAGCTGTGATAGTCCTGTGACCTCATCAGGCTGGAGGCAGCCCGGGATTACAGCCTCCACTGCCCCTCTCTGTGGCTTGTGGGCAAACTGGTTCTGTCAGAAGTCATGCATGTTGCTGGAAGGGAAAGCTGTCCTGCCAGTTGGACAGGGCCCGCCCCCCTCAAGCCCACTAAGGAGGGAAAGTCAGGAGGGTGAGCATGTTCTCAGGGATGCAGTGGCTAGCCTGTAAGCCCCTCGACCCAGCCACGGGCCCTTCTGCTTCCTGGCTCCTCAAGCCCACCCCTCAGCCCAAAAAAGCCACAGGAGGGTGTCCAGCTTTCTGGTAATAATGAGTCACGTTGACACTGGTCTGATGGCAGTGTAGGCCCATCCACTCTGCCATCCCCATGGAGTGAGGGACTCAAACAAGCCCTGACAGGCCCCAGGCTGAAGACCCACTCTGCAAAGCTCTCCCTGGGCACCAGCTTCTCTCCTATCTCTTCTACTTGCCCAGGAAAAGATGGGAATCCTGACAGAGGGTGGTACAGCTGGACCAAAGTGTCCTCCAAAGGCCTGCATATTGACGGCCTGGCCCCAGCTGATGGTGCTGTCGGGAGGTGGGTGGGGTAAGAGGTATCTGGGTGGTTGCAGATGTGTCCTGGAAGGAGACAGTGGGACCCCACCCTTCTTTTTCCTCTCCTTGTCTCCCTGTCCCAGCTGGAGGTGAGCACCTTTACGCCACCACACACTCCCACCATAATATGCCACCTGTTACAGACCCACAAGCAACAGGGCCAGCTGACCACGGACGGAAATCCCTGAACTACAAGCCAAAATGGACCTAGCCTCCTCATAAGCTGTTTTGAGTGTTTATTATGGCTGGTGGGAAGGTGAGAGGGTTTGGGGGCCTGGACCCCACAGGGCTTTGTGCAGGAGGCTGCTCATGGATGGGCCAGAAAGCATCCTTCCCATGACAATGATAGGGCGAGATAATGGTCACCCCTGTGTCACATGGCTGCCCTCTGCCTGTGGGCATCTGAAATCCACATCCCAAATGCCAAGCAGTTATGGTGAAGACACTGAGGAATACTCCGGAGTATCTCCTGAATGGCTCAATCCTTGCTTCTCCTCTGGAGCACACTACCCTCTGTTGATGTCTGGGAGTCTGGAGGGACACTGCCTCGCTCTGGCCCTGCGGCTCCAGCCACACGTGCTGCTCGCTGGGCTCTGCCTCTACCCCTCCTTCCTCATCAGAGCCCACAGAACCCCTCAGCATCACCTCCTGCAGAGAGGAGGTACCTACAAGTGCAGAGCCCCACCCACAAGGACCGAGCAAAGTATCACTCCTTCCTCAATCCTCCCCGAGGACACCCTCAGGGTCAGCCCCAGTCCTCTATGGCCTCCTGGGACAGGGGCCATGGCCCCTCTTCACCATCAGGCTGGAGTCCCCGGAACAGTGATGGGGAATCTTTGAGAGACCAGCACCCAACCCGCCACCCAAAACTCACTTGCTTATCACAAAGTGCCAACACTGCAATTAAACCTGAACACTGAGGTTTTAGTTTAGGGGAAAAAAAAAACCTCATACATTAACATTTTTTGTCTTAAAAGAAAAATAACGCGCGCCATAGGTTCGCCACCACTGCCCTAGAGGGACAATTATGACAGTTAGTTGGTCGATGAGGGACCACGAGAGACACCTGGCTCCTGCAGAAAGCCGCTTGGCCATGTCACTAGCACTGAGACATGGAGAGGTGTCCGGAGACCCCCAGGCACCAAATCCCCAGGGGCACTGGGGCTGAGAAAGGGACCCTAGGGTTAGGTGAGAAAGCCTCCTAAATTTGGGTCTGTTCGCTGACACACTGGTCACGCTCCGAAACGACAAGTTCCAAGCAAGAAGCACTATCATGCACCCATGAGGGGCATGTGACAGCTGAAAAGGTGACAGTAGACACAGTAAGGAGGCTGCTGTGTAGGGTGGTGAGGGCTCCCTGGGTGATACTGTGTCCCCTAGCTCAGGACTGGCTTTCTGGACAGCTGTGCTGAGGCTGGGGCCTCACAGCCTGCTGCCCCTGCTTTCCTTTTGTTTCCAGCGACACTTTAGAGAACTGACCAACCCCAACGCCCCATCATACTCTACTCAGATCCTCCCCCCAGCTGCCCTGAACCCCATGCCAGTGGGCAGAAGGCACAGTTCCTTCCTCAGGCCATAAGCACTGACTCCAAATCACCAATGTCACCCGCCGGCCAATGGGGCAGAGGCTCCCCTGGTGCTGACAGCTTTGAAGAGAGCTGGGAGGCTTCTCTCAGCGAGGCTGCATTTCTTCTGTAGGGCAGCTGTAACACAGGACCACAAACCACAGGCTTAAACCAACACAAATTTATTCTCTGGTTCTGAAGGCCTGAAATCCAAAGTTGAGCACCCGCCGGGCCGAACGCCCTTCATAGGCTCTGGGGCAGGGTCCCTGCTGCATCTTTTGGGTCCCAGGACTCCAGGTGCCCCTGAGCTGTGGCTGCAGCTCTCCAGCTTGGCATCTGAGGTCATGGGACATTCATTCTCTGTGCTCTGATCTCTCCTTTGTCTTCTTAGAAGCCACCAGATTTAGGGTCGGCCAGGAACATCCAGGAGGATCTCACTCCAGGACCCCTAGTTACACCTGCAGAGACCTGATTCTAAGTGAGGTCATATTCACAGGTACATGAGCAGGACATGAACACACCGGTGAGGGGAACTCTTCAACCCCTCACAGGGAGCTTTACGGGTACCCTACACTGTGTTCCCCTTTGCTGGCCAGACAGCCATCCTGGCTGCATGCACCTGCGTGCTCCCAGGGCTCAGGCGGATGCCAGTGGCTCTTCCACCACCTCTACCCACCTTTGCACTTCCCTCCTCTCCTAACCTCCCTCAGGGCACTGACCTCCGAGGTAAGGTAAGCCTGTGCCTACCCTGTCCCCCTTCCAGGGCGCAGTTCTACTCCCATCTAGAGCCTGTGAACAGGGACCTGCACTCAGGGGCTGCCTTCTCAGGGACACTACATAGACTCACACTTCACATTCCAACCAGCAGGAACTGAAGGGCATGTAGAACAATATGTATGTTTTACAGAGGAGAAGAAGGTCACAAGCACTGATTCCAAATCACCAACATCACCCACTGGCCAGTGGGGCAGAGGCTCCCCTGGGGCTCAGTTCCCCTCATGGCCAGCCAGGGACTAGCACTGCAGCAAGGCTGGATGAGAGACAGGCCTGTTCATGTTCCGGCAAGTTCCAACAAATGGCATCACACACTCATTTCACCTTGTCCCTGGGAAGGTCATGCCACTCCCCAGGCTATCCCAGAGGAAGCTGGGGGGGTTGCTGAAAGTCATGGGTTAGCCTGGAAATTCCCCCGCCAGGCAAGGGAGTCAGTGGACAAATATGCTCTGAGCCCAGTCAGTGGGTGCCGCTCTGCCTGTGGAGGAAGCATTTCCACTGAGGGGACACCCTGTGGCCTCAGCCCTCCGGGAGCCAGGGAATCTGTCCATCACTGCCATTCAGTGTTACCATCCCTCGAGACACTGGGGTGCAGAGACAGATAAGCAGGGCTCCCAGGGAGCTCCTAGACTGGCTCCAGAGCAGCAGGGTAGAGGGGCTGCAATGCCATAGCTGCTACCTGCTGCCACCCAGCCATCCTTGAAGAAAGGGTGGGCTCTTTCCTACGAGTACCTTAGAGGGGCCAGAGCTCAGTGCAGGGGAGATGCACTTGTGGGAGGGTAGAAAGGGGTCTTGTTAGTGGATTCTTTTGCTGGTTGTCAGGGGAAGCCCTTGAGAGTCAGGAAGCAAGAGAGAGAAAGCAGGTAGAGATTCATATCTGAGCAGCGGGGAGGCTGAGGCACGGGGAAGGAGAGTGCTCTGTCCAAGGCATGGCTGCTGGGACAGTGTCTGGGGTTGGGGACTCGGGTGTCCTTCTTGGACCTGGGTTTCCACTGTACCTTCAGCTCCCTGTCTTCAGTAGGACTGCAGAGCTGCTGCCAGGCACCCAGCGGGGCCCAGGGTCTGGGAGAGGGTGGCTCCTGGACTGCAGGTGGAATGATTCTGAGGAAGCCCCAGGGTCTGGAGGGGCTGAGCTGGCCTTTATAAAGCCTGCTCCTGAGCGGGCAGGGGAGAGGGCACACATGGGGTGCACAGGCAGCGGGAAGCCTCTTATCCTGGCTGCAGACTGACATCTCCATGTGCCATTCGCTGCATACCAACTGGTATCCTCCAGGGATGGGGCTTTCAGAAGGGGCTCAGCTGAGCACAGAAGGGTCTTGGCAGCTGCTGTGAAGTCCTCCCCAGTGCTCAGGACACAGACTGGCCTCGTCAACTCTTCAGTGGCCTAGTTTTGCCTCCCGGGGCCACGCCCGGCCACATCATCACATCTCACTTTCAGTTTTCCCAAAGGCAAAACCAGAAAGCTGTGCTTGATGAACTCAACTCTTCTAACTAACTCCCAGCAGAGAAGACAGAACAGGGATCCCAGGAACTCTGCTTTCATGCTGATGATAGGCATATGTGATTCACTCAGAAGGAGCAGAGGTGGATGTGGTCCTGGCCAGCTGAGCCTCAGCAGCCATTTTGGGGCTATGACGCCACAGTATGGGATACCTGCTCCAAGGTTAAAGCCATCTGGCCATGTCAGGAGCTAGGGCTGTGCAGGGGTCCAGAGGGCATAGGTGTCAAGACCCTGGCAGAGGCCCCTAGAGAGCTGCAATCCTCAGGAGGGAATGTGCCTTTCACCCTGTGCCCTGAAGCCTGGTATCGGTCTGGGCATAGCTCCTGACGATGCTGGTCAACTTGATTTGACCTGAGTCACAGAAGCAGGGTCAGCAACAGCCTGAGGCCAGCCCACAGCAACAAGACCTGCCCGTCAGGCTGTTCCTTCATGCTTCTGGCTGCGGGTCAGCCTGGGCAGCCCTGCCGTGAGCACACAGCCTGTGTTAGCCCAGGTAGGAAGGGTGGGCAGGCAGCACAGACCTCCCTGGAGTGTGGTTGGTAAACACAGCTCAGAGATGTGCCTCCGGAGACAGGATCTCATATAACTAACACTGGGGGAAGGGACACACAAGAGGGTGTGCTCCACAGTGTCCTTACAGTAGCCACAGTGTCCACAGGCAGGAAGACACTGAGTGTGGCCACAGACAGGGTGAGGTCTGTGTTTATCATCACAGGATGGGACGAGAGTGAGTCACAGGGCCCTGTGACAAACAGGACCAGTGGGAGCTTGCAAGTCAGCATGGGCCACAGAGGGCTCTATCTCATCTGATCCCCACCGTGAGCTCGTGCTGTTTCTATGGTTAGAAAACACACCTGGCGGAACCGTCTCTGGGCTGATGTAAGTAATGAGATGTCCGAGGTACAGGAACTGTGAGGACAAAAAGGACCTCACGGTCTCTGAGTGCTGCAGGAGGTGAGACACGTGGGTTTCAATGAGGCCAGGAGCCAGTCCCGTCCTGTCCCCTGCCCACAACAGGAGACAGGAGCCTGTTTTCTCTATTCCCGTCATTGCTTCAAATGCACAGAGCTGCCCTTGGCTCCTAGGACCTGTGGGACTGGTTGGTCTCATGCCTGGGGCTACTCTCTGCTGGAGGCCCCTAAGGTAGGAATGTGGCAGAACCTGGGGGCTACTTATGGGGAAACACCCCCTCCTGGAGTCTCTACTCTGCAGCACGCTCAGCACAGGTGAGGCAGGTGTGGTTGTCCCCTTACTATTGCCCCCTTCGTCCTCAGTGTTACCAGAACTCTGTTCCTCCAGCTTCCTTGGCCTCCGGGCTGTGGTGCTTGAGCAGGGGTGACATGGCCTTGCAGGCTCTGGGGACACAGGCACAAAGAAGAGGTGCCCTACCAGGTACTCACGGCCTCACCAGGTCCCTGCTCATCTCCTCTGCACCCTCCTTTGGTTCTCATGCTCTTGGAG